TGTAGATAACAGTTATCTAAAGAGCTCCACAATGCATGCCCTGCAGGAACATAGTCACTAAGTGAGGAAATAAGACATAAATATTATGAAAAGTGGAATAACAATTCAGGACAACAATAGAAATATATTACAAGGTAGTTTTTGAGTAGTTTCCCGGTGAATTTTATTCAAATAATAATTGCTAACTAAAGTAATGGACAAGCCCACTGTAGTCCGAAGTTCATCATTCCAGAGGAAATCTTCCTCACTCATACTCTTCCTATTCTCCATCCTCTTCCACACCTCTGCTGATTACTTTTTATTCTATCTAGAAGCTCCTTGTAAGGGGTTTACTTTTCCCCCCTCCTGTCCCTAAACATTGGTTCATCATTTCAACCTCTTTCTTTTCCCTCATTACCATGTCCTGCCAGTCTCAACATACCCATTCTAGATCTGACAGACCACCTCCATTACAGTTGCATACTCAAGCTAATGAGCCCTATGGGTAAATTTTATGTAATCTGACAGATCAAAGCAAATGTCTGCTTAAAATTTTCTTATGGCTCCTCTCTGTCTTAAGGAATAAAAGAAGCCTTTTTAAGGGGGTGGGGAAATCACTGTGCATTTATTTTTGATCTGCAGCCTCTTCTGGGAAATCTCTTCTTCCTGGTCAGTCCTCTTGCATCCTCTATTCATGATTTTATCAAATCTTTGATGTGAAATTTCAGCTCTTACCTCAAGATACTATGCATATGTTTACAAATGGGGAGCACCTGATACAAGATTCAGGTTGGGTACCATTGTCAGAGTATTTATTAAATGTTAGTAAAACTTCTTTTCACCTTTTTAGATAAAAGTTAAAAAACAGAATCTGCACTCCAGTGGATCATTTTATGTGCCAATATGGTTGCATATGCCCCACACCACTTTGCAGTTTAGACTTATTATTTCCATGGATTTACCCTATATTCATTCTTTATCTTACCATAACCAGGCTTCTTCATCTAATACTTGCCAGCACAACTCTGGTTTAAGGTCATCAATAAACTATCTTACCATAGGAAGAGAAGGGCAGAGTAGTTTGAATACAGAGTCATCTTCTGCCTACTTGCTGGCCTGCCTTCCAGCCTTTCTTCCTTCTTTTCCATTCTTCCTTGAGGAGAAGGAAGAGGATCACAAAAGACCCTGAATAACCAAAGCAGCTTTGAGCAAGAACAATGTGAGAGGCATTTGATTTCATAATATATTGCAAAGCTGCAATAATCAAAACACTTTTTTGCATAAAAACAGACATACAGATTAGTGAAACAGAATAGAAAGCCTGGAAATAAACCCACACATATACAGTCAACTGTACTTTAGCAGGGATGCCAGGAATACACTAGACCCTTACCTCACACCATATACATTCAAAATTGATTAATTACTTAAATGTAAAATCTGAAACAATAACTCTTAGAAGAATATTTAGGGGAAAAGCCTAGGACCTAAATAGGCATTTCTCCAAAGAAGAGAGATAAATGGCCAATAGATGAATGAAAAGTGTTCAGCATCACTAATCTTTAGAAAAATGTAAATCAAAAGCACAGTAAGCACCTCACATGTGTTATAATGGCTATTATAAAAAAAAAAATAACAAGGGCTACTGAGGTTGTGTAGAATGGGGAATTTTTGTATGCTGTTAGGAACAATGTAAACTACTATTGTGTAGACATTATAGAAAACAGTAGAGAGGTTCCTCAATAAATTAGAAATAGAATAGAATTACCATTTTTGATCTAGCAATCCCATTTTGGGGTATATAGCTAAAGGAAATAAGATCACTATCTCGAAGAGACATCTGTACTCCCATGTTCATTATCACCATTCACAATAGCCAGGATATAGAAACAAATATCTATCAGCAGATAATTGAACAAAGAAAATGGGGCATGTACATATAATAGAATATTATTCAGCCTTAAAAAAAAATCCTGTCATTTACAACAATAAAGGTGGCTATAGAAGACAGTATAATAAGTTAAATCAGACACAAAAGGACAAACACTTCATGATCCCATGTTTATGAGGAATCTAAAATAGTGACACTTATAGAAGCAATTAAGACAGTAGTGGGGGTGTGGGTGTGAGTTGGGGGAGGTATCTTCCAAGGAACACAGAATTTCAGTTATAAGTTCTGGAGATCTACTGTACACATAGAGCCTGTAGTTAACAATACTGTTTTGTATAATTAAAATTTGCTGAGGGGGTAGATCTTATGTGCTTTTATCACAAAAGAAAAAATTATTTTTAAAAACTTCTTTTTAATAAAGTAGAAGGGAAGTCATTTGGAGATCTTAAGATTTGTTTTAATAGACTTTCCAACCTTGAAAAAAAAGATGTGAACCCCAAATATAAAGAGCATTTGACCAGAAAGATTTATTAATATCTGTAGACATACATGGGCTATTAGCATGCTCATCATTGTTATTTGGTGTTAAATTTTGTTTAGTTCAGCGATTGATAGAGGACTAGATTTTAGATTGTCTTCCCTTTGCCACAAAGCTTTAATTGGGCTTTACAGAGCTCTTAAATAGACCTTGCTTTTGAATCTGCATATCAGGAGGGGGCTGGGAGCCAGAGCCGAGGATGTCATGTCCCAGTGATTAATGATCTCTAGGAAGCTGAAAAGGAGAGAGTAATATACACAGTATTTCTACCCCCTGGAGTAGGAATGCAAACACCATTGTGCAAATCTGTGCATAGTCACTGACTTCCTGGTAGCTGGAGAATTTCATACACTCTTCTACCACAAATAAAACTGTCAGAGAAGTGACAGAGCTCAAAAAGCTGGCCTTCCTTACTTAAAAAGAATAGCTCAAACACAGTGAGCCAGAAAATTAATTTTGTAGTTGTTTGGGAACCCAGTTGTTTAATAAGAAATGAGAATATGGGAACTTTTCTTGAAAAGCCTAAAACCTCCAAATATTTGTTGATTCCAGCCCTACATGTGGTTTCTTAAATTTCCTGAATTCCTGGAAACTGTTTAAATTTAAACAAATTTAAAGGGGAAACTTTTTTTTGTAATGAAATACCCTATCTTAAACTTTTCAGTCTGGTCTTTAATAGATTTAGAGAATCAAATTTAGGGGAAAAAAAAATTCTAACATTTCAGAATGGTTTGTATAGTTTTAGAAAGTCACTCTTAGGTAGTCTTTTTTTTTTTTTTTTCCTACACTTTTTTTTTTCCCAGTGAATTTATTGTATTTAATAGCAATTTCCAGATGCTTATGAAATCAGAAATGAACCATTTTAAACTATAAATAAGGTACTACAGAAGCCTGCAAAAAATTTTTAAAAGAAGGTTTGTGGGGAAAGCATTATATTTCAACTACCTTAGATTATTTACAAATAACCAAAATTAGACTTTGTGTAATAGAAATAGGGGTAGATTTTAGTGAGAACACCCAAATAACTTGTATTTTATCAAGAACTGTTTATTTATAGACTGGATAAATTATTTTTTGCTCATATTTCATATTTTAATGCTCTATACATTATTCCTCATTATTCTGCATTGATTGTTTAATTTTCAAACAGATTTCTTACCAATTTTTATTTTTCTATAACATAAAGAGAAAGGAAGTATTTATTCTTGGAGGAATAGAACCACAATTCATGGCAAAGGAAATAAAAACCTTGGTGTTTTTATTTTCCTATTTTTTAATAGTGTCACTATAATTTAAATTTTAGACTACGATGATCTAAATTAAGACAGTATCAGATGGTTTAAGCCCTGAACTTGGTTTCCAAGTGGTTAGACTTTTAAATTGCATTTGCAAGAGTTTATTTTTAGTCAGGATGTGGTTATTTTTAGATCTGCTTCTCTGTCACTAGGAAATGTAATGCCTGTCTTTCCATTGTTGTTTATCAGGAAGTTCTGAGGCTCAGGCATTTAAGATCCAGTTAGCATATAATACTACCTCTTCTTTTAGATGAAAATATGAAATAATACCCGAAGGGAAATATGCTCATTGAGAACATGTCTAAGTTTTAAACGGTTAGTGTCATTTCTCTTGTACACTGAGTAACAGAACAAGGTTTTCAGGGAATGCCAAAAATACAAGGTTTGAGTTCCCCCTACTGGTGCATTTCAAGCTCATGTATAACCAAAAGGCCTAGGAGATGGAGATTAGAAATGAGGCTATTTCTAATCTTATCATTTCTGATGAGAGAGAAAAGAAACACCATTTTCCTTTTTTCTGTAAATGTCTTACACAAAATGGGATGACTTAAAAATTGTATTTGTACATCTAGAAAGAACAAAATTTAGTACTACAGTGTTGTCAGTCTATTGTGATAAGCTGCTTATATGCATTTCTTCTTGAATGCTTTATGGTGTAAGCTAAGGAATAATAAAACACCAGTGGAAGTCGGGTGTGGTGGCACATACCTGTAATCCCAATAGTTCAGGAGGCTGAGGCAGGAGGATCTTGAGTTCAAAGCCAGCCTCAACAACTTAGCGAGGTGCTAAAGCAACTCAGTGAGGCCCTGTTTCTAAATAAAATGTATAAAAGAGCTGGGGGTGTGGCTCAGCGGTTAAGCACGCCTGAGTTCAATTCCTGGTACCAAAAAAATAAATTAATTAAATTAAAAAGAAATAAACACCAGTAGATGCACAAAAGGATTTAAAACTGCCCCCTCCCCAAGAAAATGCAAAGCTAACATTGTTGTCATAATAAAATTAAAGGGCTGGCATTAAAGCTCACTTAATCCTATTGTAGCATTTCAGAAAGTGACCTGACATCATTTGATTTTTGTCTATCCATTTTACGTCTGTTCTTCCTAATTTTGTCAAATGTGTATTTCATACAGTTTTTATTTTCTTTTAGTAAGGTCCAAGTAATATTAATGGCTTATTTTGAAAAAGAAAAATTTTAACTGACTTCTAAAAGTCACCTCTGAACTTATTATTATTATGTTTGCATTGTAAAGGAGTGTTCAATCAAGTTAAAATATTGTATTTTTAAATTGCTTTTCAGCAATGCAGTCAACCTTTTAAGCAATGTTCCGGTCTCTTGTTTGGATGTTCTCATTTGTCCATTAACCCATGAAGAAACAGCCCAAGAGGCAACAACTTTAGATGAACTGCCCAGTGATAAAACAGCTGAGAAAGAAACAGTTTTGAAAAACAATACCATGGAATACAATGGTATGAATATGGAAGCCATTCATGTTTTACTCAATTTTATGGAGAAGAGAATAGACAAGGTAAGGCTGATAGAGTGGAAGCCTTTGAGAAGATGCTTCTAAAGTATGTAAATGTGCCCTACATACAAACAGACCACAGAACATGATTTTTAAATCTAAGCTTTTTTTTTATATAGCTGACATGTTGCTTAATTTTACTTTAGAAAGCATTTTATTGTAATATAGGATGAATTACTGAAAAGTAATGAATTTATTTGTTTAATGCTGAATATTTATTTTTGCAACATGTTTATCAAATTTGTAACTATTGCCTGAAAATAAAGGTAAAATTAATTACTCCTTCATGTAGGTACTTTGAAAGTCTCAAAAGTAAAAATCATCCCATCAAAAACTTGATGATATTTTCTGTAATGCCTTTAAAAGACATTTAAAAAAACTTTTTTTTTCCAATTTTCTACTTGTGAACTGTTTATTTTCTCTGATCTGCCATTCAGTTTATCAAGTAATTATTTAGTTAAAAGGCAGCAGGGGAGCATAGGTAGGTCACCATAACGTTTGTTTCATTTAAGCACATAGCTTGAGCTGGGGGAACCCTAGAAAATATAGGAAAATCAAGGAAGGATAAAACCAGTCAATAAACATGAAGATAACTGGGGGAAAAAATGGAAATATTGTTAGGAAAAAACTAATGTATCCTGCTCCCCACCACCAAAGAAAGTGATTCATATGCTCATGTTACATGGAGGAAAGGAATACTTTCAGAAACTAAACTAATAGAGCATGTATGGTTTTCTTTATAGGGAAGCAGCTATAGAGAGGGTCTAACTCCAGTTCTCAGCTTATTAACAGAATGTTCCCGAGCCCATCGAAACATCAGAAAATTTCTCAAAGATCAGGTAACTGCTTAATGCATAATACATCTTAAAGTTAATCTTACTGTATAAGTTTTTCTTCTTTTTTTTTTTTTAAACACAAAACTAATGAATTCTCGCATAATGATTTTCAGAAAATCAGAAAAGTTGGTTTTAATCTTTGGAATCTTCCAATCAGGAAATAAGTGATCTTGCTGGGGATATAGCTCAGTGGTAGAGCACTTGCCTAGTACGTGCAGAACCATGGGTTTGAGCCCCAGTACTGCCAAAAAAGTTAAAAACAAGCGATCTTGTATAATTTTTTGAGTCATTCATTCATTTATCCAACAAATGTTTATTGAGATCTATGTGTTGTTTTATAAGCATTGTTCTGAGTAATGGACAACAGATGAAATCTGTCTAACCCTAACCTTTGTAGAGTTTACCTTACTGTGGGGGATAAAAAGTAGATAAATATATAATGTACTGACAGGAAATGATAAGTGTTCTGCAGAAAGTTTTATAGCAGGGGAAGAGAAAGGGAATATTTAAGGGGAGAAGGGAGAGCCTCTGTGAAGAGATAACTTTTGAGCAGAAAGTTGAATAAGTAAGAAAAATGTCTCTGAGAATGTCTGGAAAAGGAATCTACTAGAGAGAACAAATTCCAAGTCCCTGAGATAAGAGGATGCTTTGGGGGGCTGGGGTTGTAGCTCAGTGGTTGAGCGCTTGCCTCACATGCATGAGGCACTGGGTTCGATCCTTAGCACCACATACATACAAACATACGTAAAATAAAGATATTGTGTCCATCTACAACTAAAAAAATATTTTAAAAGGAAAAAAAGAGGATACTTTGGTATGCTTAAGGAAAAACAAGGCAGCCTGTATGATTAAGCAAAAATACACAAAGGAGAGAGTGGTACATCAAGTAAGAGATAAGCAAGTGCCAGATAACACAGGTTATAAGGACTTTTGATTCTAAGTGAGATGAGATAACATGAGTATTTTGAGAGGAGAAGTGAAGTGATCTCATTTATATTTTAAGATTGCTCTGGCTAGGGTAGACTGTAGAGTAGACCTTATTAGAACCAGGAGACCAGCCCAGAAGAGAACTGATGGTGACAGGTTGGCATGGGGTGAAAGCAGTGAGTTCATATGTTGGGATATGTTTTGAAAGTAGAACTCGTATAATGTGCTGATAGATCAGGATATGTGTTGAGAAAGAAAGAAAAAATAATCAAAGATGACTTTTAAACTTTTTGATTATAGTTTAAATTCTAAGTCTTTGCTTCTAACAGTAACTAAAACTGACCTCTAAAATCCCAGTTTCCAGCACCTCCTCTTGGTGCTTCAATTCAGCTTTCTGTTAACCCCAAGAGGACTGGCAGTCTATTATTCGTTTTACTCCATCACTTAGGCTAGATCTCACCTGTAGCTCTTTACTACAATCTCTGTTTTCCATACATTTTTTAAAAATTATTATTTAGTTGTAGTTATGTACAATACCTTTATTTTATTTATTTTTATGTGGTGCTGAGGATTGAACCCAGGGCCTCGCACGTGCTAGGCGAGCCACTGAGCCACAACCTTAGCCCCTTTCCATACATCTTTAACTAGTATTTCTCATTTCTCTTCAAGTCATACTTACCTGCAAAAATCCAACAAACAGGTTAAATGCAGTCTTCTATTTACTGTGGGCTTCCACTGAGCACTTAAATAGGGTAAAGCAATGTAACCATATGGATTAGTCTGGCCCTAAGTGGCTCACCAGAACATTCCAGGATAGTTATTTTATAACTCCTTTTCTTAAATCTCCACCATCTATTCTCTCCACACTCTCATTTGTTGACCTTACTTTCTGTTTCCATAAGAAATTGGCAAAACTTCATTTTTCACCACTGCATCTACTGTCTGTCGTATTTTTAGCATTAATACTTTGTCTCTTCCTCTCTCAGTCTTTGAATTATCCCCACTACTGTCTGTGGCCAGCATCTGTTCTGGATCCATTTCCCTTTTACCTGATGAGCTTTGTTCTATACTTATTCTTTTTCTCCCTTCTTATATTCAACTTTTTTTTAAAATTTTTATTGTTGGTTGTTCAAAACATTACATAGTTCTTGATATATCATATTTCACACTTTGATTCAAGTGGGTTATGAACTTCAACTTTTTTTTTAATGTACTAGATTATTTCTGCCAGCATCCAAACACATCTTCCCTCTTAAAACAACAACAAAAAAAACCTTTATATTAATCCTACTTCTCTATGCCTTCCCATTTCTCTGCTTGTCTTTATGCAGTGTTCCTAAAGAGTTTCTATATTCCTCATTTATATTCTTTGTAGTTAACCTTTGATTCTCTCCTGGACCCTCTTTAATTAGGCTTTCATGCTTTCTACTCCAATACAAAGGTGTTTATCAAAGTCAGCAACCCAATATTGCCAAACTAATAGTTCTCAAGTCTTTTCTTTTTATTATCCAATAGCATTTGGTCTAAGTATTCCCTCTTCCTTGTAATTCTTTCTTTATGTGGTTTCTAGACACAGTAGAGAACCTCTTCTTTGATGCTTCTCATCCCAACTGTAAATGTTTGAGTGCCCCAAGGCAATACTGCCTTGTCTCATCTCTACTTTCCTGGTGATCTTATTCAGGAGTTTTGATTGGGAGTGTGCTGATGACTCCCAAGTTTTTCTCTCTAGCTGTGATCTATTTCCTAAGCCCCAGACTTACATATTGAACTGAACTGCCCACTCATCTCCTCCCATTGAATATGTAGCAGTTAACTTAAGTTTAACATGTCCCAAACTTTATATGATTTCCTATGTCCCTAACCTAGTCTTCCCCTTCGTTCCACAGTTCAATATATGGTGCTACCATTCACCTCATTATTCATTTATTCATAGAATTTCCCCTAATAAATGAACCAGGTTTATTTTGTCTGTCTGTATTTATGATAAGATTTAGTAAATACTAATACATAGTGCTGATGAAGAGAAATTAGAAAGTTGGGACTGTATGTTTAAGGAATTCACATTCCATTGAAAGAAAAGAAAGCTATAAACACATAAATAATCATCTAAGCAAGATAAACTAATCATTTGTGGTAGTTTCTAAGTTTTATTATTTTAAGACATTCTACCTTGACTAAGAGGGCTTGGTGAAGAATAATACATGAAAATGCTGTATTTTCTCTATTTTATGTTTTTACAAAGATAATCTTGAGATCATCATTCAGGCAAACTGTTTAGATTTTGTTGTCTCTAACTTGAACAACCAAAACCAGCTTCTTTATAGGAAGTCTTGAGCCATGTATAATGTAGATACAAAAGCTCATGAGGCCTACTTTCTGTCCTCAAGAAACACTACAATATAGGAAAGCAGGTGAAATATAACAGGTAAAAAGATAAAGATACAAAGTGTATTAATCTGTTTTTCATTACTATAACAAAATATCTAAGGCAGACAACTATATAAAGAAAATTGCTTTACTGTTTTGGCTCATGGTTCTGCAGGTCCAAGGTTGAGGGACTACATCTGGCAATGGCCTTCTTGCTAGCAGAATAAGGAGATGTAGGGCATCACTTGGAGAAGATAGAGCACTTGTGTTTGTCTCTTCTCATGTCTCTCCCCCACATCTTCTTGTAAAGCCACCAATATTCAGTTGTGGAGGCTCTACCCTCATGATCTTGTCTAATCCTAATCACTTCTCAAAGGTGCCAACACTAATCACCATATTGGGATTAAGTTTCCACCCTCTTAATGACTCATATGAAAACTTGGAGGATATACTCAAACCATATCAAGACCATTGCATTCTACCCCTGTATCTCAATGTTTAATGCAAAATACAACTTTTCCTTCCGCAATAGTCCCAGAGTTTTAACTTATTCTAGCATTAATTCAAAAGAACAGAGTTTTATCTAAGACTCAAAGTGAGCTTATTTTCCAGCTGTGAGCCTAGAATATCAAAATAAGTTATCTCCTTTCAGCATACAATGGTGGGAGGCCATTGTATACAATGGGATATACCTTCCCATTCCAAAAGGAAAGAATAGGCTAATACAAAGGGTGAATTGCCCCAAAACAAGACCAGAAACCAGCAGGGCAGACCCAAGGGGTTGGTCCCCAAGACCTGAACATTCCCACCCCTACAACTTTGCTGGTCACAGCCTTACAGGACTGCATACTAATGTGGGTGGCTTTCCTGGATGGGTATGACATGTTGCTAGTCACTCTTGTCTATCTAGGATCCTTACCATGGTTCTACTCCCACATATCTACTATGCATCACTCCATTAGGTGCTCCTTGAAAGGGCTCTGACCCTGTAGCATATTTCTGCTTGGCTTCCCTGGCCTTCCTTTGAAATCTCAGTGAAAGCCACCATGATTCTGTAATTCCTGCATTCTTCATGTCTGCAGAGCCAGTACTATGTAGAAGCCAAAAATCTGTGCCTGGCCTGGGACAGGAGAGGTGGCCTAGAAGATTTGTGAAATGCCCTCAAAGCCTTTTTCAGTTGTCCTGATAGTTAACATTCCTCCTGGTAAACTTTTTAGCAAACATTCCCTTTGCCTGGTCCTCCTTGGCTATACCTTTACATTCTTTTTCTTTGCTCCTTCCTTTGCCAGAGTGTGAATTCTCTAAATCTTTCTACTCTGTTTCCTTTTGCTCCCAGCTCTTGCTGTGAATCTGACTAAAAGCAGCCAGTAATTCCCATGTCACAGCCTGAATGCTTTGTTGTTTTGAAATTTCTAGTCCATCATTGTTAATTTCAGCTTTCCCTAAGTCTTGGGGCATGGATGCAATACAAATTCTTTGCAGTGGTGTAACAATAATGACCCTATTTCCAGTTTCTATTCAGATCCTCATTTTTCACCCAAAACTAGTTTCATAGTCTTCTGAGCCCTTATTAGAATAGAATCTCCCATAACTATATGCTTAGAGCGTGCTAGGCATTTTTTTTTTCCATTCCAGCTGTCTTAACTACTGAGCTACATCCCCAGCCCTTTTTATGTTTTATTTTGAGAAAGGGTCTCACTAAGTTGCTT